TCTCGTTATCTATTTTGATGCCCCTCTGGAGCCTTGTAAATACCAAAGATCATATGTAACCATCTGTATCTCTCAAAGGGCATCCAGAGTGTAATTATAAAACTGCTGCGTTCACCCAACTTCACTTTCCAGTCGTCATTCTTCACATCTATGATAGTGATGACTTCAGCACTTGGTTTCAAACAAAATTCCCTTGATGGTTGGCATGGTGTAGTGAGGTCCCTTCAGACCTTTATCTGGATTCTTTGGGCCGATGCATACTCTCAGCTTTCCACATAGTTTAAGCGCTACTATTTTGCTAATCCATTCTGTAGTTGTTCCTTTTTTGGTTACTTCCTTCTTTACCAGTTCTTCTATCTGGTCTTTTAGCCTGACCTCGAGGACAGCTGGATCTTTCCAGCATTGATTCAGAATTGGTTTGACAATCTCATCTACAGGGGTTATCTGCTATAATGCAATAGAAGCGTTGCAATGAAATGATGCGTTATAGAAAACTGTGCTATAGAAATAACAGGGCCTATGGGAAAAGAGGGTTGGGGCAGAACAACAAAAAAAATCACTCAAAATGACTTAAAAATCACTCAAAAGCGTAACGCAAAGGATAGCACAGTTTCAACAAATGTTTAATTCACATGTAATAATGAAATAACTGTAAATTTATCATCTTATCTTGAAAAAATGTCAAGATGACTTGATGGGAGAGGAGGTTTCACGGTTGCTGCATTACTAATGCAGGGACTGAGGGTTGTCATCATCATCATGAACATCACCTTCAGGTTCAGTTTTGTTTGCAGGGTTAGGGTGCAAAATAGTTAATCCACAAGTGGATGGTTGTGGTTCATTGTCTTCTGACTGTTTCTTGGGGGTTGGTTTAAATAAAAGACATCCAGTTTTTGCTACTTTGCCGTTTTTCTTTGTTCATGAAGAAGCAGTTCATAGGGTATCAAAGAAGATCTTACTTCACAAACTGCTACCTTGCTGCATTCTGCATTGTAATTGTTGTTCCCTAATCATCGCAACTGCTCCTCAATTTCCCTCAGGACAGAAGACAAAGCAAAAGTGGAAAGTTCTCGTGGTGCTGCATCTTGGACTTCATCTTCTTCATCTCCAGCTTCCACTTATCCCACAGCAACAAGTTGTTGTAGATCAGCTGTGGAGAGGTCTTCACAGTGGGACTCAAGCAGCTCTTTAACACCCTCACTCTCCACTTCTTCAAATCCAGCTTGCTTTGCAAGATCAACACAATCTTCTTTGATTCTTGCGAGCTCCTCTGACGGATTAAAGCTTTATAAATCTTGAAAAAAATCTGGGAGAAGCTTCCGTCAAACCACATGCAAGCAGCTCTTACTGACATCACCCCAGGCCTCCACAATAATGTCAATTACATTCTTGATGTTAAAGCTCTTTCAAAATTGAAGAACGATGTCCTTATCCCCCTCAGTGGCTGCAATCAGCCTGTTAAATGTGTGCCTTAAATGAAAAGCTTTAAAAGCTGCTATTGCACCCTGGTCCATGGGTTGAAGGAGAGAGTTTGTGTTTGGGGATAGAAATAGCACTTTGATGTTTTCGGAAAGAATGGTCTGTGGATGGCTTGGCGCATTATCTAGGATGAGGAAAATCTTGAAATCCACATTTTTTTTTCCTGCAATACTTCCTAAAAACATTTTCCAAAACATCAACAATAAGATCAGAAAAAAATTGCCCCATCATCCAATCATTTTTGCCTGACCTAAAGTAGACACCTAGAGTAGACTTAAGGTAACCTTTCAAGGCTTGCAGGTTGACAGAGTGATACACCACCACAGGCTTAAGCTTTGAGTTTCCCTTGGTGACCCGGCAACACAGTCATATGATCCTTTCCCACCTTAAAGCCTGGAGTGTGTGCTTCATTCATAGAAATGTAGGTTCTTGATGGCATTTGCTTCCAGTATAAACCTGTCTCATCCAATTGAAAATTTGATTCAAGATGTAGCCTTCTTGGTCAATTAATTTTTTTCACTATGAAGGAAATGCCACCATATGCTCCTCGTCTGGCTGACAGCTTCGCCACATAACTTTACGTCAGGAAAAGCATTGCGGTTCTTAAAACCAGCAAACCAGCCACTGCTAGCACTAAAGGCAGGCACTTCTGCAGGATTTTCAGCTTGTTTTGTTAGATCTTCATAAATTCATAAGGCTTTCTCTTTTACAGTGAGAAGGCTGGTCCCAGATCACTTCTTTGTTTGCTCTTCTATCTATACACTTAGAAGCCGCCCTATCTCCTCAAGTTCCTTTGTCCGTGACCTCACAGATTTGCAAGCACTCAGACTTGTTCCAGCAATACAGCTTACTTTAATCTTTTGTCCATTGTCTCTAATGGTGGGTAAGGTAAACTCCTTTATTCCTGTGACACGAGCAATATCACATGTTTTCTCATTACGCTCAAAATGCTTTACACCTGGCTTCTCTTCCAGCATTATGTACACCACCCGCAATTTTATCACCAGGACACTTCTTGTTATCATTCTTGCTACTTTGTCCTCGCATTTTTTGGGTAACGTGGCAGAGTTGTGCATTACCTCTCACAAAGCGTGAGAATTCTCACAGAAAGTGCAAGGATCCTTGGTGTCAGTTTGGGTACTCTTTCGGCACATGCTCAGGACGAAGTCTATGAACTGATCATGTGATGTCAATATTGGAATTGCATTATAGCCAACACAAGGCTCACATTTTACAAATACCATTCCCCTATTCGTCAATCGCATTATAGCCAATTCGTGTTGCCGGAACACGCATCATAAGAGAATACCCTGTACTTCAGCTTGTCATTCTCCAGGAAGATATCCTAATACTGTAAATACATACTTGTACACTTCTTGGATTTGTTCCACGATCAATGGTTTAATGTGGTACAACATGTTGAAAATCTTTTTTGGCCCATTGAGGTTTACCAGTCCAAGCTTCAGACTTGCTTTGGCTGAGATGAATTGCTTACGCTTGTTGTCTCTGATCTGAGACTATAGGTCTTGTTATTACATTGGGCTGTCAGAGCAATTTGTCCACTCAGCATAAGTAAGATGCTATTATGTAATCTCAACATTACTTTCAAGTTTGCACAGTTAGATTGCCAAGTTGAGCTACTTCACACAGTCTGTGAAGATTACAATGCATAGGTGATGTAATGCAATGGCAGAAGCTGTCTAACACTTTGTTTTGACCCGATGTTCTCCTTTTGCAGTCATTATCCTGACAGTTACAAACCATTGATCAGCCGTTGACTTAACGGAACAGATCACGTGTGTGGCATAGAGTGATTGTTCAGAATCTTCGGCTGATATCTCTCCATTTGCCATATGTGCCTGCTGTTGTGCTTCATTCTAGCCATATGCATGTGTGAAAACTCATTTTGTTCCTTGCGGTGAGAATAGTGCTTTCCCACATTGCATATGCCTTCTTTTCCTACATGATGTCCTCTGCAGTATTTGCATCATGGCCTTTGTCCGCGATTGTTCTGCCCTTTGGAACTGGAATATCTATCAGTATAGTGCAAGGCCTAGTCATGAGTATGTTCAAGCAGCTAAAACCAAAAAAACTGCAGATGCTGTAAATCAGAAACAAAACCAGAAATTGCTGGAAAAGCTCAGCAGGTGTGGCAGTATCTGTGGAGAGAAATCAGAGTTAACATTTCGAGTCAAGTGAACCTTCCTCACAACTGGAGGAACTGAAACGTTAACTCTGATTTGGCTTCACAGATGCTGCCAGACCTGCTGAGCTTTTCCAGCAATTTATATTTATGCTCTGAGTTGATTAACAACCTCAGCGTTTCTTCATTTTCAATACTTCTCCTGAAAGTAAGTTTTTCCTCTCTCAGTCAACATGCTCTTTCTGTGAGACTTCTTATGACTAATACAATCCTGGCTTCAATTAGGTTGTCGATTTTTGTAGAAATTCACAGTATTCTGTGAGCTGTGCTAATGGAGTCACATATTGTTCAATGGACTTTGTTTTATCTTGATCCCTCATAATGAATATATATCATTAATAAGTTACATTGACTTAGGTTTCAAAGTATACCTTCAAAGCTTTCAAAATCTCTCAAATCTGTGTTTTATCTTCAGAGAGAATTAGGTTGGAATAAACTTTAAAACAGTCTCTCTCCAACAAAGTGTAACTACATGTAGCTGCTTTAGTTTAAGTAGATATGTCACAATTTTGTAATTTTTCCAGTTCTGTTTCATATCACCTTTCGTTTTGACCACTGTTAGGAAAGTAAAAGTTGCAGCCACTATGTCTTATTCAGTGCTTCAGCTATGGCTTGCTTCTTTATTCCTTTTCAGAAACTGTCATCGGCAGCTTTCACAACTCTGAATAGCATCTGTGCTCTCTGTCAGTGGCTGTTCTTCATACAGCTCTTTAACACTCTATCACAGCTCCACTTCAACACAATGTTATGAGTTTGATCTAGTACCATGTGGCCTGTACTGAGTCCTTTAGTGAACTGGGTGCAAGATAACTCTCTGAGGTGAGTGTCCAATAATAAAGGCCATGTAACTACAGTAAGCCTGGAGGCATATTGATATAGTGTTGCATTTTTGTCTCAAATTCAAACCACTCATTTTACACCTAATTTTGCACAAACTATTCAGAACATTTAAAACACTGTCAGAAACAACTCTGTAATTGGCAATAATACAAGTGGCAAATGAATGCTGCTTCTTTGGCAATTTTAAATATGTGTCATTTAGGAGGCAGAGATTGTTTTATGTGTGGTTGAGAAAAAGGTTTTATTTACAATCCAAGGAGATAAATATCCTGGAAATATTCATGCTTATTTCACTTCTGTATTTTAATGCTGTACTGACAAAATAGGCTTACAGGCTTCTCAATGCATAATTACAGCCTTAAAATGTCCTTTTGTGAATCACATCATAGGCATGGCAAGGTAATTGATCAGCAAAGTAACGGTTTGAAGTAGCTTATTTAAAGCAAGTCTAATGTATACCATCTTTTCTCTCTTTCAGAAACACTGTGACAGGCAGAAAGCCAATTTACGAATCCGTTACAAACCTTCCCTGTTTCAACATGTGGGAACTCACTCTTCGTTAATTGGGAAACTTCAGCCTCTGAAGGTAGGCAGAAATTTCTATGTAAGAGCTTGCTGTAGCGTATGGAGTCATAGAGATGCACAGCTTGGAAACAGACCCTGGGGTCCAGCTCATCAACGCCAAACAAGTATCCTATATAGGTCTAGTCCCATTTGCCAGAATTAGGCCCATATCCATCTAAACTGTTTCTATTCATATACCCATCCAGATGCCTTTTAAATATTGTAACTGTACCAGCCTGCATCACTTCTTCGGGCAGCTCATTCCATACACGCACCACCCTCTGCATGAAAGAGTTGCCCCTTAGGTCCCTTTTAAATCTTTCCCCTCTCACCTTAAACCTGTGCCTCTAGTTTTGGACTGTCCAACCCAGGGAAAAGACCTTGCCTATTTACCCTATCCATGCCCATCATGATTTTATAAACATCTATAAGGTCACCCCTCAGCCTCCGACGCTCCAGGGAAAATAGCCCCAGCCTCCGACGCTCCAGGGAAAATAGCCCCAGCCTATTCAGCCTCTCCCCACAGCTCAAAACCTCCAACCCTGGCAATATTCTTGTAAATCTTTTCTGAACACTTTCTAGTTTCACAACAACCTTCCTATAGAAGAGAGACCAGAACTGCATGCAACAGCCCAAAAGTGACCGAATCAATGTCCTGTACAGCTGCATCATGACCTCCCGCCTCCTACACTCAATGGACTGACCAATAAAGGCAAGCATACAAAACACCTTCTTCAATATCCTATCCACCTGCAACTCCACTTTCAAGGAACTATGAACCTGCATTCAATGTCTCTTTGTTCAGCAACACCCCCTAGGACCTTACCATTAAGTGTATAAGTCCTGCTCTGAGATGCCTTTCCAAAATACAACACCTCACATTTATCTAAGTTAAACTCCATGTGCCACTCCTCAGCCCATTGGCCCATCTGATCAAGATCCCATTGTACTCTAAAGTAACCTTCTTTGCTGTCTGCTACACCTGCAACTTTAGTGCCATCTGCAAGATTACCAACCATATCTCCTATGTTTACATCCAAATCATTTATATAAATGACAAAAATCAGTGGCACACCACTGGTCACAGGCCTCCAGTCTGAAAAGCAACCCTCCACCACCACTCTGTCTTCTACCTTTCAGCCAGTTCTGTCTCCAAATAGATAGTTCTCCCTGTATTCCGTGTGATCTAACTTTGCTAAGCAGTCTACCATGAGGAACCTTGTCAAATGCCTTACTGAAGTCCATATAGATCACATTCACAGCTCTGCACTCAGCAATTCTCTTTGTTACTTCTTCAAAAAACTCAATCAAGTTAGTGAGACACGATTTCCCACGCACAAAGCCATGTTGACTATTCCTAATTAGTCCTTGCCTTTTCAAATACATGTAAATCCTGTCCCTCAGGATTCCCTCCAACAGCTTACCCACCACCAATATCAGGCTCACTGGTCTATAGTTCCCTGGCTTTTCCTTATCACATTTCTTAAATAGTGGTACCACGTTAACCAGCCTCCAGTCTTCCAGCATCTCACCTGTGGCTATCGGTGATACAAATATCTCAGATAGGGGCCCAGCAATCACTTCCCTAGCTTCCCACAGAGTTCTAGGATGCACCTGATCAAGTCCTGGGGATTTATCCACCTTTAAGCATTTTAAGTTGTCCAGCACCTTCTCCTCTGTAATATGGACACTTTTCAAGATGTTGCTATTTATTTCCCCACATTCTGTATCTTCCATATCCTTCTCCATAGTAAACACTGATGCAAAATACTCATTAGTATCTCCCCCATCTCCTGCGGTTCCACACATAGGCGGCCTTGCTGATCTATTCTCTCCCTAGTTACCCTTTGTTCCTTAATGTATTTGTAGAATCCCTTTGGATTCTCCTTACCCCTTTTTGCCACGGTTATTTCATGTCCCCTTTTTGCTCTCCTGATTTCTCTCTTTTAAGTATACTCCTACTGCCATTGTACTCTTCTAGGGATTCATGCTGTCTATACCTGATATACATTTGATGTGCATTAACTGCGTATGCTGTAGGTAATACTAACGTGATGGGATGCTGTTAAAAAATGTTCTTATCAGCTCATATTGTAAAACTGCTTAACTAAATCTTCAGTTTGCCGTAAAAATATACATCAGCTATCCAAAGACAATCCATGAGCTACTTTTCTCCATTCCTTAATAACAGAACCAAATTTTACTTCCCACAATAGTGAAGTTCAATTTGCCATATTCCATTCTATTTGGTTGTTTTAATTTGAAACTCTACCTTTCAGTCTATTTCATTTCTTTTGCTGTTTAATTACATTTTGCAAAATACTTCCAACTAACGGGACTACTCTTGAGAGAGCAAAAGTAATTTTGTTACATTTAATAGGATCACAGCCTGTAAAATCTTTCATGAGAAGAAAACTTGATGCTTTTGAGCTAAGAACAGAATCTTATAGGGCCCTGAAAGATCTTGTCTACGGCAAGAAATCTGGGAGAACCCTGTTGAAGTCCAGCAAGGCCTTTCTCAACATCCGAGGCAATAAATTGCATATTCCAATGGAGTTCAAGGTGACATGATTCTTGTTAGGGAGCAGCCAGATGCCTATTAACAGGTATTATTGCTCATAATCACCCTTATTAACATTGAATATCACCTCATTAATGTGCACCTTGCCATTGCAACTTGGAATGCAATATCACTAGATGCTGAAAATTCCCGACATGAAAGTCAGAATGGGTACCTTTGTGACTCCAGATTCCTCCTTGCTCCCCTGGACCTCCACCTTGGACATTCTGCACGAACATATCAGGTACGGTTCTAGACAGAGGATGCACATCACAGATGCTGGCATCAGACGCTCACCACCCTTCCTGGAATAATGCTCCCTCTAATTTTTTTATGGGTGCATGGATCTCCAAAGTCCACACACATTCATGGCTTCCAAACCTGGAAGTCAATGAGTCAGTATGCCAATTACACCAATTGGCGTGCGTGGAATCTCAAGGAATCTTGAAACGGTTGCACGACCACGTAGTTTAAAGTGAACACTGCTCACAATCCTCATGGCACATCTCCTATTCACTCAGTATGCTTCTGCCCTGTCAGGATATACATTGGAATGCACCAGCAACTATTGTTGAAATGCTGTTGCAAGGACACCTTGCACATGATGACAGTATATGGACTGGACCAAGCTGCAATCTCAGGGTTGTTGGCTCACTCTCAGCGCACACTGACTTGGCATCTACCTGGATGCTCACAGCATCCCTCCCTTGCCTTGTCTTTACGCTTAGTGCCTCTTGAGCCAAAGCTCTGCTCTATACCGCAGGATCTATTATCTAGTGCCATTCTCCTGCCTTTTCCTCATATCCCTGCACCCCATTACTATCCAAGAAAACATCCAATTCCCTCTTGAATGCCTCAATTGAAACTGTCTCCACCATATTTCCAGGCAGTGAATTCCATACCCTAACAACTCACTATGTGTAAAATTTCAACCAGCATCTTTATCACTCCCAACATACCCTGGTCTTTCTCAGCCAATTAACAGCTGGTAATTTGAGGTATAGTCATTGTGGCTATTTAGGCAACTTTACATATAATTTAAACAAAGTATAAACAGCAAATGAGGTAATTGATAAGTTCATATATTTATTTAATTACCCTCCAGATGTTGGCAGTGCTTCTTAATGTTCTTCTTTAGTTGCCAGCTTTGAGAAGGTGATGAACCTTCTCCCTGAACCGCTGCAGTGCTCATGGTGATTGAGCTCACAGAAGTAGTAAGGAATGGCTGGAACACCAGGAAAACCCCACCTTTCTTCTCTGCTTTAGTCTGTGGAATATTGTGGAATCTTTTGCATCTACCAAGACAGCTGAATGGCACCTTTTTAACATTTTTTTCCAATGATGCAAAGCTGCATGGAATCCATCATGGGAATTGTGTTGTGTACAATCTCTGCAACAAGTCACCACATTTACCTCAACTTTCCCTTCCCAAACCTCTGCCTTCTACCAACCAGGATAAGAGCTGCAAATTCTTGGAAACATTCAATTAAGTTTTCTATAAGTGACACATCTGATCTGACTTGAATAGATATTGCCATTCCTTCAATATCCCTTAGTCGAAATCCTGGAATGACCTACCTAATAGCACCATAGGAGTAAGAAAGATATTATAATGCCTTTACCAACCCCATGGTGTCCATCAAAATAGAATTGTTTGTAATGTTAAAAGAAAGGAAATACAGCAATCACTTTATGCACAGTAAGATCAGACAAATAGCTGATGCGTGGCATGGAATCATTTTACCATCCCCCGAGACAGTAGACAGTAGTGTTACCTTGGTTTAATGTCTCATCCGAAATACATCTTCAAAAATGCAACACTGCCTCAGTGCTGCACGGAAGGATCAGCCTAGATTATGTGCTCAAGTCCCAGGTCTCAGACATGCTGAGTGTGTCCTTATCAGATGCAAGTGCACTTTGGGGTGGGTAAGAGTGAGTCAGGGATGAGAGTGATATAGCATGAGCATTGGTAGGAGATGGATATAGCAGCAGAAATTTTGTACGTATGTGCACATGCGTGTGTGTGTGTGTGTGTGTGTGTGTGAGAGAGAGAGTTGGGGTGATGGGTGGGGGCGGTGTAGCAGATAAAAGGTGGTGTCTCTTACCCTGGTGGAATGGAGAAGGTCATTGTCCTTCTTTTGGCACTGCTGGCTATTTTAGCATATCATGGAGTCTGTATTGACACAGGTGGCAACTTTAGACCAGGCTGGCAGGACCTGGTGTTGTGGCCTTCCACGGCCGTCCTCCAGGAAGAGTGTGGCCCTTTTGTATATCACCCCTTTACCAGGACTGCGTGGAAACCTGTTGGCGCAGTGGGTCACCAGTTTTGCTTTGACTACCATTATGTGAGTATTCAAGGAGTATTTAATTATGCAGGGCAGCTGTCAAATGCCAGCATTTGTCCAAGTGTGCAATGATGTTTTAAACCTTGCATTGGCAACAGGCATGCCAATCAAAATGGG